TTTGTGAGAGAACCTCTTCGGCCACATTGGAGCTGCGGTTCAGGAGGCTTTGGTAGTGTTCTTTCCAACATAATACAATTGATTTTTGGTCCTTTAAGAGTTTATTCCATCTGATGAGCGTAGAGGCTGTATGCCATGGTTTCTTGGTCCATAGATGACCTTTGTGGCTTTGAAAAATCCCTGAGCATCATGGGTATCTGCCAGGTGTTGGATTTCTTCAGCCTTCTTTGTCCACCAGATGTTCTTGAGTTCTCTTGTCCTTCTTTGGACCTCAGCTTTTGCACTGGCATAGATCTTTTTCTTAGCAGCATAGTTGATGTCTCTCTGCCATGTTTGGAAGGCTTTCCTTTTCTTGACAATTAGCTGTTGGATCTCAATGTCATTTTCATCAAACCAATCTTGATGTTTCTTGGTTTGATATCCAATAGTTTCTTCGCAGGCTGTGATGATGAAGGTCTTCAGTTTGTTCCAGTGTTCCTCAACGTTTTCGGGGTGTTCTGTGGGTAGATGGTTCTTGAGTGCTGTTTGGAGATGTGCTCGTCTGGAGGGATCCTGAAGGGCTTGGGTGTTCATTTTGTGCCTTGTCTTTCTTCCTTGGAGTCTGGATAACAACTGGGGTATTCCTTGGATAACAACTGGGGTATTGACAGGATCTTTCCTTTTAGAGTGAGCGTAGAATACCCATATGGTTTGGGTGCTCCCCCAGACCTATAGCATGGCAGTTCTAAATCTAATATCTTTGAAGGACACATGTTCAGTGGCCTTCTGAATAGTCTTTTGAGCAAAATTGAGTCTCATTGTTTTCAAATAGAATTACATTACATTTTTTATCACGTATAAAGGTAAACAGTCTTATAGTTATGCGTGCCAAATGCAATCACATCTAAAACATGAATCCGTGTACATCTCTAAACTGAAATCTCTCTGGCCCCAGAAGATTTCCATCTTGGGTTTTATGGTACTGTGTGCATCATAAAATGATTTCCACAAGTTCTGATTCCTGCTTTATACAATCACTTTTATGTTATGTCATGTCGTGTTAAAATTTACTTTTAGAAGTACCTCTCTGAGGATATCTCCAGCTTACTCTGATCATCTTAGTTAATAGTCAGTTGTATTTCTTGAAATTGCCTAGTGTTCTGGGCTGTTAAACACATGACAGAACCTGCTGCAGGGGACAAAGTGAAACTAACACCATGATAGGTTAATTGTGTGGCTTGCCACCACATCAAAGCTCTCCCACTTTTCATCCTAGGGAGGCAGCTTTCAGCCATGGTTCACGCAAAAATCACCCATATTTCCCTCTCCTCCCTCCACTGATATCAGGGATATTATTTTTTTCCCTTAAGGCAGCAATGGGAGCTTCACCATTGTTAACTGTAATGCAGGGTGATTTTTGTAAGGTAACATAGCCACGTAGGATTTTGGCTGCAGTCCAATTGAAACCCAGTTCCCCACAGAAAACACCCCATCATTTTGCAGCCTAAAGTGGAAAGGATATAGCATATGCAACTCTGTCTTAGGACAGAAGGAAGTGGTTGATGAGTTTAGGAGAAACTGCCAGACATGTTACATTCCCTAATAGTTGGAGTTGTGGCACACAGTGGGAGCCAAAGCTGGCTTCATTCAAGCACCAAGTTAAAAATACAGCTTTTTAGTAAAACCTGTTGGATTTGATGACTTTATCCAAATCTGTTCATAACATATAATTTAAACATTTCTAACTTCTAGACATTTAACAATTTAAAGACTGTTTAAGCTATTAGACTTCTTTCAAGTAATTGATCCTAATCTTCTTGTATGGTACTATGGGATCTTATGATTTGGGCTGAGAGATAAATATTTTTTATTTTTAAAATAATTTATTTCCAATTTTCTATTAGATTATAATAAATTGTTGTGTGGTGCTGCTAAAGTCTCTGATTATAGCAGGAGCTGAGAGAAACTTCAAAATAAAAAGCAGAAAGGACAGGAACAAAATCAAGAAATCTCTGGTCTTTGGACATGCTTACACTGAAGAAAAAGGCCAGAAAGCCCCCGTTTTTTCCTGTTCTTTCCAGTTTTATTCTGGAGGTCCACATATATTTTGTTAGTCTAACAGTATTTTCTATCAGCTCCCAGTATCACCAGAAACTTTATATCAGTTCTCCAGGTTGGTTTATTTTAACTTAGTATAAAATCAGAAAGAATTGGAACAAAATCTGTGACTTTTAAATCAGCTGTGACTTTTAAATCTTTCTGAAATGTAGAGCAATCTTACTCTGTTTTATGCTATGCTAAATAATGCTGATTAAATAAAATGAAAATGGCTTTTGTAATGAAAAGAAGTTTCTCTCATAGAATTTTATGTTTTCACAATTTGGGGATAACACTAAAAGCCAGAATCAGAGCTTAAACCAGGACGCAATAGTATATTATAATGAACTACCTATACGTTGAACTAAAGGAACTGATGCTCATTGAGAACTGATTGGCAAGCAAGGCTAAAAGGAGAACTGCCAGGGAGCTAAGGCATTCCTTTTCACCTGCTGGGCCTACCAATTAACCCTGCCAGGAACCAGAAAACCAGGTTACAAGTGTCAACTGAAAATGATCTGGGCAAGGAGGAGATACACTGAGGGAGCCAAAAC